CAACGGAAGTCGTACGACGATTTATTACCAAAACCAGCGTCAAGGTGCCTGAATCCTAACAAGTCATCTAGATCAGACGGTTTCTACCCTAGATTACTCAACGAATTAACAATCATCCAGGCCGGCCCTTTAACAGTATTCTATAAAAAATTTCATCGAAGGGTTTTGCCAGCCGATTGGAAAGAAGCCCAAGTGACACCCCTGTTCAAAAAAGGTGACAGAAGTAACCCCGGTAACTACCGTCCTGTCAGTCTCACAAGTGTTGTGTGTAAGGTGATGGAATCGGTTGTGAGGGATAGGATTATCGATCACTTGACTGTTAACCATCTTCTATTAGACTGTCAGCATGGCTTTATTGCTGGCAGATCATGCACCACTAATCTTCTGTCTAACTTGAATAATTGGACTCGCCAACTGGACGAAAGGGAGCCAGTGTACGCAGTGTACCTCGATTTTGCCAATGCATTTGATAGTGTTAACATAACATAACATAACATAATGATGTCGGCGCTGAAATGTAGGCCTGATGTGGCCTGTCGCCGATTCTTTTCCTTTTCGTGCCTTGTTCATAGATCTAAACTCGTATCATTTGATCGGATCTTTTCATGACTGGCGATAGTTTGAAGTAGCTACTTATAGACTTCCAGCGGGTTCGATAAGGAGCTAGTCATTTCAAATCTGAACATATATTTTTAGAGAGGCTCATAGTGAGACCCTCACTCGCGGGACGTTGGAGCCCTAGACCAGTATCGTCATGAAGTACCCCGACGCCACAAGACTGGCGATTTCTGAGGCCCTCATCATCAAGGATGAGTCTCCAAAATTAAATTTGAAAAGTACTGGATTTTTCGGGACGTTGAAGATGTTCTCGTAATTCAAGCTTTGCTTTCCTTTGTTTGTACAAACGTAATTTCAAAATTTCGATTTCAAATGTTGCAAAACTCTTCCCCTACTTGATAATAAATATAGTTGCATTAGAGACGTTATAAATTATAACAAAATGTCACTTGGAAACCTTATATTTGAATTTGCAAGTCATATCAAAAGCCTAATTGGCCGCATTGAGAAAAACAATGAGAAAATTGTTAATAAGAAATACTCTCTTGTCTTCAATGAAACCTGCATTAAAGAACAACTTCTGCCAAACAATACCTACAAAATATTAAACATACAATAAAATTATACGTGCTCACCAATTAAGTATAAATTATTTTTAAAAAGTATTGTATGATAAAATGAAAAGTAAAGCACTTTAAAGCTAAAAAAAATTAGGTGACGATTAGTGCGATATTTCACAATTTTTTTGCATGTATAACTATTTCATGCTGAATGTATTTTTCCTCGAGGAATTGAAACGTTTCCAGTTTTGTTCAGTTACTTTTCCTGAGTCGTTATCCCCAGGACGTTATTGACATCAGAAGTAAGACGATATGAAATGAAGCTCACAAGATCAGCTTTGAAAGCTGACCTTTATCAAATCCATTTCTGTACATCAGCATCTTTTTTTTAGCAATGGTTGAGATTCTTTGCTCATTAGGAAATATTTCACAAGTTATTTCTTAACAAAACCGGAAATAAATCCTTACACCTGAATTACGGGCTGAACACTTGCCAATAATTACAATCGCAAAACTAGTATCAAGTTGAGCTAACGTCAGCAATAGGCAAATAGTTAAGAATTCTGACTAAACAAGGGAAATCATGAGGTACAAAGTGTATCCCAAGTATACTCTCAGTAATACACACCTTGAGGTGATCTAGCAGAAGCCGCAGTGTCATCGTGTGAAGTTCGTGCGAGTAAGCCTCGGGGTGAGTGAATTTATCAGACTTGCCGAAGCCAATAAAATCTGGTGCAATGACCCTGAAGCCGGCCTTCGTCAGGGTGTTGATGACGTGGCGGTACAAGAAAGACCAGCTTGGTTCTCCGTGTAGACACAAAATTGTCTCTTTTGCATCTCGGGGACCTATAAAAAACACATACGATATATGGACACCCGCTTATCATAAATAATATGCATTTAATTAAAAATTATATTTTAAAGACAACACTCCTAAAGAATCTAGTGTTTCCAATGTTACACATGTACAATGAATTTCTAATTTTATTACAAAATATTAAAAAAATTAATTTTTAAATTTTATTAAAAAATTTAATTTTTAAATTTCATTAAAAAATAAATTTTTCTAAATTATTTATTCTGTCAATTGATACATGCAATGTCTCCGACTTTACGCAAGTTTGCAAAATTTTAGATCGATTGGACATATAGGAGTGTGTTAAATATCGATTATAAGATATGTAGCAGATAAAATTATTTTTTCTATTTTTTTTTAATATCAAAAAGTAAAAATTTTTAAATTTTCAAAATAATTGATTCTGATTCATTGATTCATGCATTGTCTCTAACTTTATGCAAGTGTGCAAATTTTCAGATTGATTGGTGTGTCAAATATCGTTTATAAGAATTGTAGCAGACAAAATTATTTTTAATTTTTTTAATATTGCAAAAAAATTTCCATTTTTAAAATTATACATTCTGTTAATTGATTAATTCTTGTATTGTCTCCAACTTTACACAAGTGTGCAAAATTTCAGATCGATTGGACAGGTATAAGTTTCTTAAATATTGATTATAAGATTTGTAGCAGACAGACAAACAAACAACAAGTAGTGAAGTTAAAGCGAAGTGGTGTGNTCTCTTATACACATCTAGATGTGTATAAGAGACGAGTATAAATGCATTGACCAAACCTTCATTACTGCATTTCTTCTAACAATAATTAATGCTCTGTGAGTCCGACTGAGGAAAGTCTAATTCTCAGCTCGGAATTTTTTGTAGAAGACCGTAGACTGATTTTCGGATAGATAAAACATAGAATAAATTTTCATCTACATGCATTACCTAAATATTGATCGAAAAGAGGGCTAAATAGTTTCCACGTTGATTAAAATGATTGGATGTGCTATACTGATTTTTTAAATGTGTTCTAAATTCACGTAAAGAAAAGAGCACTTTTTGCCCTCATGTGATGGTGCCATCCTTTTGATGGTGACTCCGAATCTTAATTCCGCACCAAAGGATGGGCAACTCAGACGTCGTCCACCGCATTTATATCGGGTCTCTATAAACAAAATTAGCGGAGCCTCACATACACGACATACATACGACATTCACCAGATGCAAACGATCCGTCACAAGCAGGCTATATCAATCATACAGGTCATTTTTTCGTCACAAGAAAACGATCACTTATTCGCCACATGCGACCGATCACTTGTTCGCCACATGCACACGATTAATTATTCGCCATACACATACGATCAATTATTCGCCTCCTGCAAACGATCAATTATTCGCTGTAATCGATCAATTATTCGTCAACTATTCGCCAATCAATCAACTATTCGCCACATACAAACGTACACGGATAACTCGCATTGGAAATGCTATACTAATTTTTAAAATGTGTTCTAAATTGATGTAAAGAAAAGAGCACTTTTTGCCCTCATGTGATCGATGGTGCCCTCATTTCGATGGTGACTCCGAATCTTAATTCCACACCAAAGGATGGGCAACTCAGACGTCGTCGCATTTAGATTGGGTCTCTATAAACAAAATTAGCGGAGCCTCACATACACGACATACATACGACATTCACCAGATGCAAACGATCCGTCACATGCAGGCTATATCAATCATACAGGTAATTTTTTCGTCGCAAGAAAACGATCACTTATTGAGGAGTTCATGAACTCCATATTGAGGAGTTCATGAACTCCTCTCATGTGATCATTCCTTCTTTAATACGATAGGTCGTTTTTTTAGTGGTATCAGTCACTTTAAAGATTGCAATCTTTAATTAATAAGAATAGAGACGTACGAAGTGCCAAGTACGAATGTATCGCAATGAAAACTTGAAAAATCTTGAGGTGTGAAATGCTTCGAGCTTCTCATAGTAAGCATCAAAGCACAGACCAGAGGAAGAAGTTCTACCTCTAAATTTCAGATCACAGCTTTGCATGGTATGAAAAATAACTGACGAGAGAACGGAAATAAAGACTGATGAAGGATGACAATAGTTATTCAAACGCTGAAAATTGGCATATAAAAATTGTCAAAATTTGAGTGGAATAAAGATTAGACGGAAGTAACGGCCTGCAAATTATTTATTTAAAAACTCAAGTTCGCCTCGCATTTTACTGCTGTTTCTGGCATTGCACTGCTTTTTAATTCAAAGTCAGTCTTAGACACGCCTACTATTACGATCATTTGATTGCTCATATTACAAATTAACGAGAATTAAAAAACAAACAATGCATATGTAAATTCACTATTTTTCTTTAAATACATTTCGAAAGTAAGCTCCGTCATCAGTTCAATAGATCAACTAAATTTACACGAAAGAGATTCAATTTTAAATCGATCAATAAAAAGATAAATAACGTAAAACATAGTCGCGGTTGGGGAGTAAACTTCCTAAGACATAATAACATGTACAAATATATTCCATCAAGCCACTATTTCGACGCACTGTACTTGCCTTCATCAACATAATGCACTCGAGGAAGGGTTTTGCCTCCACCGATTGGGAGTTCTACGTAGTTTGGTTTGAAGGTGTAGCCCAACTTGGCCGCATTGTCAAATCTGCTGTCAGGTGTTCTCACCACCGATGCTAGCGGGCTGCAACAGAATATCACTTAAGCTATACAGAGCTCCTCATTTAAACAATATAAAAGGCTCAAACTCAACTAAAACATGCATGTATACCGCACTTCCATATGACGAATAACGAGAGAAATCTGTAGTGACGGTAAATAGTCGAAATAAAGGGATGACTGCCACAAACGGGTTTCGTTCAAAGCAAAACTAACTCATAATCTTTGTCATGCGAATAAAATTTACAAAAAGGTATTCAAATAATCGAACAAACACCGTTATGAACACAAAAAACAGCAGGTCTTGCAATTATTTCTGAAGCTTGCTAAAGCTAAATAATGTAGTTTGCTAGTTTCTCACCTTTTCCAGAAAAGTTCCAAAACACAGAAGAAGAACACCTTAATTAGGTGCGCCGCATAAGCAAGGAAGATGAGCAATGGAAGTAATACAAGGCGAATCCAAATATTTTTGTTGGCCATTACTTTTTCGCCTTAAATAGATTGAAAAAAGTTTGCAAAACGAATACGAAGCAGATTACTGCACACAAGTAAATAAAATAAATGAATATGATATCTCAGAAGTGGCTATTGTCACGCAAGCATACGATCATCTGCCAGGGATCGGCATCACTCACGACTAGCAAGTTACTCTGTTGCCGTCAATTATTTTTGCATCTGAATCTAAATTTAAGTAAATTGATTACCTTTACATCTAGAAATCTAAATTTCAAGAAAAATGTACAAATCTGAATTATACGCACTAATTGATTCGTGATGGTAGAAATTTAAACTTTTTCTCTAAGAAACGGCTTCCATGTTTCGCCTCACAGAGAACTTGTAATATACCGCACTAGATTTCAATAAAATTGCCCATCGCCACGGGTATATTAAACTTTTTATTAAACTTGCCAGAACAGATTATCATTATACTAAACCTACACGATTGAATGCATGGGTCGTTAAACTAGAGCCTGGGAAGACAGCTCCTCATATGTGCGTGGGTATACTGAGTTACCGGCGACTCAAGAAAAACATCAGGATGAAGTGCTTACTCGAGCTTATCGCTGATAAAAAAAAGATAAGTGTTTTGCATCTAATCGAGCATGTAAAAGTATATTATTATATTAAGAGTGTACTTGCGTCAAACCAAGTGTGCCTTCTTACACGAAGAAGTTGCTCATTCATTAGGTGATGAAAATAAAAATAACGTTCAAATAATATTTTCAAGTTAATTAGGTACTTCTGCAGGTCTAGATACGCAGGTCTACCAACACTCAACGAAAATTAGACTTTGAAGAGATTGAAATCTAAACCCAATTTGACTATTTGCACTACATATACAGTATATCAACTTTGAAATGATTTTGAAAAATATGAAATGACTATAATTTCCTTTATGTTTTATCTTCTCGAAAGATAATTTCCTTATAAATCCATTCTAATGTTGAGAAATCTTCAATCATTCACTCGAGGCGAATGGAGTAGCAGTTACTCAAAAAATAAAAAAAAATCCAGAAATCTCCATTCGTGACAAAAACTACGTATTTAGTTTAACTACATTGCGTTCCAATCGCTTCAGCCAATGATGCGATTTTGTGCCGAAAGTCACGAATAAACGTCGCTAACGAGGTTAAAGTTCCCACTAAACGCGAATTTTTTTCCTTGAAATTCGTTCCTTACCAAGTTACCACCAATGGTCGGGAGGTCACAAGTGACTCAAGTTGGCCACACGAAGGTGGAGTAATAAGACGGGACAGGTTTATGGCAGCAGCAGCGAAGGCAACTGATTACAAGACAAATGAAGTCGCTTACACGAGACCTATAACCACCAGCACGAGAAACAGAGAAGGGTAACGTAAGGAATCCTGCCTTCACGAACAACTTTACTCCGCCGCAACCCGCAGTCTAACATTGCAAACTCTGTAGAGTGTAGAGGATCAGGCACGGACAATGCCCCTGGGACCGCGAAATCCCATAGGACTTCTGACGTTCAAAAACACACCAGAAGGCCTCCCTGAAGGGCCAATTCTCCATAGCAAACTCGACTGCGAGTGATGTCAACAAACGATCAAGGTCAAGGTAAGAGTAAAAAAGTGCAAATTTTATATCATTTTTATTTTTCTGATAAAGAACGTAGAATTGATGTATAACATTGTACTTGTCAGCATAGGTGCGACAGAGCACCGCATGATAAGCAAGCAAAATACAGCACTAAAATAACCATTTCATTTCATAAGATGGCATGCCACACTCTCTTAGCGAGTCAGTAGTATAATAGCAACACTTAAGGATTAATCAACAGATTAACATAACGATAAACACATTAATATGGAAAATGACTTGATACTCACAAGCAACAATAATGCTCAAGTAAGTTGAAAATTACTGACACGTATGAAGATGAAGAGCTATGGTTCAAGTTTAAGGCAAACTTTTGTAGTACGATAAAGTGTGAACAACAAAAGTGGGATGACGAATTTGTAGAAGAGCAGACGCAGAGATAATTTATTTTTGCTAAGCTTGTAAGCAGCAAAAATAATAAATTTAATGCGTCTTTCACACATAGATTAATGCCTTGGAAAGTTAAATTTGTCTTAAAAACGCACAAGCGAAAAACCCACTCGCTGAAATTGGGATTCCGAAAATATAATTGACAAATATTGATCTATTAGGCTTGAACAAGCAAAGGGGCAAAGCTATTAGCCACACGTGAGAACTGTGTAATTATACGATAAAATATCAAGAAAAATCTGCTTCTATGATAATGGAATGACTTGCGGGGCATCCCGAGCTCGATATTCAGAAGGATGTATCGCATAGCTCAAAGATGGTCGTCTTACTATAAAGCAAAAATTTGTACAGATCACCACAAAAAAAAAAGACTGCTGAAGCGCAAATATCAGAGCCGGATGAAAACAGTATAGTTTAGTATATTTTTGATAACAAAATAAGTAGTTTTTTTAGAGAAATAACAAATATGAATCGGCCCAGATTAAACAGTTCGAAGCTCTAAAATTACCAGAGCTCTTCAATAAAATATAGGTAAGAGCCAGAATAAAATAATCATTCACGAACGAACGCATATTTTACGAAGGCAAAATGCATTTGCATTAAAGTGAAAAACATTATTATTCAACTCTAATTTCGGGCAATTCTGAAATTTAACATTGTTCCTCAGTTAAATAAATTCGCTTAAGTTGAAATAAATAAAAGAAAAGTTGTCATTTATTAAATGGCAATACGGTTAAAAAGATCAAACACAGGAGTTTCTGAGCAGTTCAGGTGGTCGTGAAGGAGTTCTCATAGTCGATTTCTGTTGCCCAAGTCATTAGAAAAACAATATAGTTTCAAGTATACCTAGTGACCAGCAGTAGTAGGCAACACTCTCCGTTCTCAGGACCATACCGTCATCTCTGACTAGTTGATGCCACTCTATCAGTTGCAGTTATTCCAGTTACTAAGAAATATGCTATGCCTTGTAGTTAACTTGGAAGTTAAAAATTAAATAATGATAACCAATTGGGGAAAACATTACGATTATCATAGTTTGTGCTTAACCGCACACAAAATCAAACTAGAAATTCAATTGAAGTGATACAATGTTTGAAAAAACAAGGAATAATTTCTGCCGATATAAAATTTTAGTATAATAGCCATATGGCACATAAGGTGGTAAATAGAGGCCCTATTAATCAAGCGGACCTACGCTCTTCAATCTTACGCGCCTTACTTATTTACATCCAACTTCAAAGAAAAGAATTAATGCAGTAATTGGTTTTCAGCTTGAAACTTAAGACTATTAAAATATGTATATACACGGTAACTCATGAATAGGTGAACACGCACGCATCAGCCTCCTCCCCCCCAGATAAGCCTAAATCTTTCCACTTCATCAGCAACTTGCGATAAAACAATCAGTCACCGACAATCTCAAGTAAGCCATTCACCTGAGCTTCAACCGTAACTGTTCAATATAAATCACTTGCTACAAAGCTGTGGTACAAATATTAGCATTTATTAATCAAACACCAAACACAAAATGCGGAAAAACAGAAAAACTCTTCCAGGCACAGCACAACAATCACGATAATCTTATTTCCAAACAACAAACGAGAGCGCCCTGCCGTGTATACTTATCGGCAGTAAAAGCCAAAGCTTCGTTATCAAGAAACAGCAACTGATGGTGTTAAAATGGATTGGTTTTAGAATAAGCTAAGAGACGTTTTAAACTGAACATTGCAATTGTAATTCAATCGAATCAAGGGTTGAATAAAGAAGGCTTACAGAATCAAGATAAGTTTTCCTTGATCGTTTCTGGTCCCGTTCGAATGAATTTTAAATTTAACGAAAAATTCATAAAATGCTAGTTATGAACAATCCATTCAATTAAGCTAATAAATTAATTTTGGAATTCTAGTATTGTAAAACTTTATATCCCGACCACATCAGCAGGCACGACAAGAGCGAGGCAGACGATGATGAAAATGTCAGTTTCGTACAACAGAAAAACTCTCACAGGGCAGCAAAAAAAGAACACCGTAGTCTCGCTTTCTAGTCTCGTATTGGAAACATTGCTGTTGGCCGTCCTCGAGCGCTTAGATAGATAATAGTGCTTATGCCAGAGCCAGACAGAATAAACAATTAAAGGTGCCTAAGATTAATGGTCCAGAAAAGCTATATTCCCACTGTAGGAAATAGCAAGGATTCATTCACGCTCTATGTATATTAACTTCCATTAGACAATGTTCGCCATCGATCAAATGAATTTAATAATTAAAAATTATACTTCATTAACATTGGATAAATAAATGAGAGAAGACGGCCATTACAGCGTAGAATATTTGTTGTCTGACAATGACATGGCCGAAAAGTCTTTGAGCAAGAAAAATGCTGAGCTAAAATAAATGAAGGAAAGTCTTGGTGACTAGATTCCTTTAAATAGCTCGTTATGGCACTCGGGTATCACTGGTCAAGGCTCTCAAACAGTGACGTCTAGATAGCGAGTCAAAAATGAATATTTAATTCTGAACGACATTTGGGTGAAAATAAGGGGGGTGCATGACAGCAATGCAAATGTGAATGCATGTAGTTCGTTCACATCAATGACCGAAAAGACATGAACTTTAGCGGAAAATGTCATAATAAATGTAAGGAAACTACGTTTTTCGAACCTGAAACAGAGAGTACAGACAAAGTTACTCCACATTATGTACAATTAGTTTTATACCAACCCTCAAAAATGAGAGAACCAACACGTGTATCGAACAAACGAATAAATATGTGCAAATTATCGATTGTGAAAAAGTCACGTGAAGATGAAACTAGGAAATGTGTTCATTATCTAATTTACATCGTCTGCCACTATAATAAAACGAGTTACGAAACCTCAGTCAAGAACATTTCAGGCAAATGGTAAGATACAATCAACCAATAAACTCTAGAGCTGCTGGTTAACAGCAATTATGGTACGGTACCATCTGTGCTACACATGAAACATTACAGATGTCAAAAGCTAGATACGAAGCAAACCCACTCGACATCGGTTGGAGAGGAAAACTCATTTCCCAATCGTCCAAAAAATATTAACAAGAAACACAGCTGTAGGAAGTGCAATGCACCTATTTACAGTAGTCGAATGAAGCTCATAATTCTTTATATTCTATTAATCAATGATAAATAACGGGCAGGACGCAGATAACAGGTTATCAAGGCAGAGAAGCGGTATTATACGAAGCGCTCAAAACTTTACTTCAGAACTGGCCTGTGGCGGACATAGAACAGTACAGGGTACATGTACCTTAATATATTTCACCAGGTCACTCCTTAGTAATCTATAGGTCCCAGTCGCTTGCAGTGCAAATATGTATTTACACATCAATATCTTGATAGCTAATACATATCAATATCTTGACAGCTAATAGTTAATTTGGGCATTTGTATTCGATAAGAACGTAGATTTTGGTTGAAAACAAGATCCCCATATCGAGTTGAGCAACATTCACTACTATAACCATGATAATTCTGATATTAATTTCTTTAGCTAGAAGTCAGATTTGCATGCAAAGGATCGTTCTAGATGTTGCTTTCAAAACGGTCTTGTCTGATGCCGTATTAAGCATGGAAATTTGTAACGTGATCTTCTTCCTATCCAGCAATCCCAGCAGATCGCATTGACCTGCGCTCGACAGAGTGCACCACAATACGTCATCGTTGATGAATAAAACCACTGGGAACCAGGAATCCATACGTCAGTACGAATTGGGTTAACACGACTGATCGAAACAGAACCCAATAGTTTTCTATCATATGACTCAATTAGAGAAAATCCTCAAATATCTAAAGAATATTCTATTTCTCTAAAACTGCATCAACACCCAAAAGAAATGTTCAAGGTATCGCCACGGACATTTAGAGCTCAAAGTTTCACAAACGATATGAATACAAGCCGAACCGTGCTAGCGTAACGGAAGGAGTGACATACAGTTCTAAATGTGCTCATATTCTAAGGCAATGGACGATAAAAGGTATAATTATGTTTCATCATCAAGCTATAAGTATCCAAATTAATTCTACGTACATAGAGTTAATCGAACAAGTAAGCAACCCTGTCAACCAGAAGAAATTTTTACCGTAAAGTAGGAAACTAGAGAAATGGCAATTATATTCATTAAAGAATTTAGTCGAATTTTGTAAAATAGGCGAGACCGACATCAATTAGTAGTAATTGTCGAACTCTGACCTATAAAATGAACAAGCATTCTGTCTTCCGGTTCATTCGTTTTTAATATATTAATGAATTGTCTATAAAATTTGCACCTATGAAATATTTTAATGAAACAAAATGGCACAGCATACTCATCGAGATCAAGAAAAAAAAATCGAGGGGAAGAAATCGTTAGCAATTGAAAATTCCATTCGAAAGATTTAATATTCTTCACGTGAAACAAAAATGGCGTTACGATTGTATGAATAAGAAATAGCAGCTGCTTTTCAACTTTACTAGGCGTATACTCGACTTCGTCAAACTTGTTCAGGCTAGCTACAAACCATTGGCGATGTTACGACTCCACGCCGTTAACATCATAGGTACCGATCTTTTCGACGGACATTGGGCCATTGGTAAATCTCAGTTTGAGTTTCGGCACAGGAGGTGGATCGCAACCCTTGCTTAAATTAGTCCGTTTCCCTTCAGTATCTGCTTTGCCCGACACATTTACTTTGTTCAAAGCATTAAAAGGTCCATTGAGATACGTAGCGGAAGAATCATCCTTCGGAAATTTTCGATCACCAAAAGAAATATCTGTATTACCGTTGGCATCATTTGTGATGATCGCTTCCTTAATGTGATTCGCAGTCACGTTCGCACGCAGATCTGATTTTCTGGCTGCCTTCAGCTCATCGTTGGTAGTGCAAAATGTGTCAGTTTCAGCTACATCGTTTTGTGTGAGATCCGTTTTCTCTTTGGATGTCCTCTTAATTTCTTCCTCGGCGAGTTGATGTTCTAGAACGTCTTGGACTGCAGCCTGAATGTCGGCTGTCCTGGCATCGTCCTCTTCTTCTTCATCTTCACTACCGACTTTTAAAAGTTCTTCGTCGCCGTCTGAGTTCACGGTACTGGCCAAGCCTTGATCGTCAAAGAGTTCATCATTTTCTGAAATGACAAAATCATTTACATAGGCAGGAATTAGAAAAGATGAATATTACAGCGTTAAAAAGAATTATGCTCTGTATCAGTTTCAATAGTTTGCAAAATAAATTGAAAAATTAGGTATTTCCTTTGATGTGTGACACTCGCAATGAAAAATATAAACTCGTACGAAATTTATTGTTAATAAACATAATGGTACATCATAAACCACCAGTTAGAACAATTCTCACCAGAATCATCGCAGTAACCTGAAGAATATCTCGTGGTCCTCCTCCTCTTCCCACGCCTGGCTGGAAGTTCCCGCAAACGTGAACGTCGTTGCGGTGGAGATGTTGAATTATCAGAACTTGAACGAGATGCACGGCCTCGAGAATCTGAAGTTCTTAATGCTCGAGAAGAACAGCGAGATTTCGGCAAGTTGTTGCTTTTTGGTTCATCAACGACCATGTCTTCAGATGGCATAATTGGATCTATTTTTTCTTCGGGAATCTCGTTTATTTTAGGCTCTTCGTTAGAAATGACAGTGACCTCAGGACTGGCATCTAGTGGCTGAGCTTTGTCTTCGACTATAGACATATCGTCATGGACGACATTGGGATTGGACTTCTCTTCCTCAGCATCGGGTTGCAGAACAGTAACGTCAACATCAACCTCCGGTTCTGTTACTGTCTTGGCTGTGAGATCAGTCGCCAAATCGGTGGCATCGGCTTCTATCTTTTCGATGTCAACGTCAGTTTCTCCTTGACTCTCATCTCCTGGGGCTTCACCGACCTCAGTTATCTCGATTTCTGATGGAATGGACGCAACTTGACTTTGTTGAAGAGCCAGCAGGTCTAACTGCTGCATCTGAAATTGTCTCTGAAAGGCCGCAACAGAGGCTAGTTCAGATTCACTCAAACCGTTTCCTGCCGCAGTGGCAGTAGCCAAATAATTTTCAGGAACGGTACTGAAAACTGACGATACAACAGACGGGGCTAATGAGGTTGACGCATCACTGGCGTAGTCAATAATACCAGATGATGCCCCAGATATTGGTCTCAACTCAGGAAGTTGGCGGTTTTTGTCGAAGGAATTCATTGAACGCGAAGAACAAGGAGCTCCTAGACTGTCGGAAGGCTCAGGGGTGCTACCTGAAGCGCTGCCTGACCGTCTATAGAGGTCGTTCAAATAGTCCCCTTGGTCTGGAGTCTGTAAAATTAACAATATTTGAAAATTACAGCATTCACATCCCAGGAAATGATGATCACTTTTATACAAATCATTCAATTTTCTACCCGTAATTCGATTCATATCAAATAAAGTAAGAGAATTGAAAAGCGCCGAATGCAAATTTAAACATATGTGTGTTTTCAAAAATTATCTGAAGGTGGCTGAAAGGATATCAATCATAAATTGATAGCTTGAAGCATTTGGTTCAGGTCAGGGATATGGTATTTAATCTGAAAGCACGATTACTGAACATTTTGATAAATTATTAAAAATATTTGAAAATTATTTAAACGAAATTTGCGTTTATTTCATATTTTATATTTATATAGAATCTATTCAAGTATGAATTAGCCACAGGCGCATCACGACCACTGATTCGCGACCTCAGTTCCTGACCAGTGAGGGGCACTTGGGTATTAACTCGATTGCTTCAGAATAAAAATGAAGCAGCTGTCATGTGACACTTTCTCTGGAATTGATTGAGGAAAAAATTGAAAACCTATTCTAGAATGCAGACGTTAACAGAGTGGATGCTGTTTTCATTTCCGTAAAGATTCATTTGAACGATTTTTTTGAGACGTAGAACTTATGTGCAAGTAGACAGGATCTCTGAGAAACGAGGTTTAGAGGAAGAGAAAATAAAAAAGTAAACGCAAATGCCGATACATAAAGTTTAAAAATGAATTTTCTAAATGCGAACAATAATTTTGAAGTTCAAAATTTTTTTGCACATACCTCAGCCCTCTCTTCCTTTAGGTCCATGTCGCAGCTGGCTGCATCATCAGGTAGCCTCTTCGACAAGAAATCTAAAACTTCGAGAGTTTTTGCAATCTGTTTTTCTAGATTGCTTTCTTCGCGCTTGTAGTGTAGTCGCAAGAAGTTAATCACGGACGTTTTGGCGACACCAGCAGCATCCATATTGAGTTTATACGGCTCCAAGAGAGCTTCAAGAACGTCCGGAGAAGGGCAATCGGCGTCGGTCCCGGAGGGCATTTTGTTAGACAGCAGACGAGGATGTGAGATGCACAGACGACGCAGGCATTTCTGAGCAGAACAAAACATTCGTTGAATAATGACGATAAGAACTAATGAAGGTACGTGTAATATTTTGCCCGATGGTTCGAAGGAAGTGATTTACAATTTTCCTTTTCCTTTTTTTCCCAAATTTCCGAAGGAAGCGATTTCCTCTTACAATTTGAACCACTTGATTCGTGGTTCAAATTGTAAGAGGAATCTACGTTTAAAGACACAATGTAACCTAATTTCACTCCATATTACAAATTTTATAAAACAACTACATAACAAATAATTCAGAAACAAATAATGCAATAAGTGATTCTCCTTCATTTGGAGTAGACAAAAAACTAGTTGTGATATTCGCGCGAGAGACTTTATGAAGTTTCTCGCGCACTCTTTATGAAACTCCACTTCATTATGAAGAATATTGAAATACTGACCTGTCTGAAGCGACCGCCTCCTCCGTACTTCGGCATGTCGACGCAATAAATGCAGCTTTTGCAACACAAGTCAGTGGAGCAACCGTAGCAGCGGTTACATTGATACTTCATGCGCCCAGGCTAGAAGGAAAACATCAGTCATTGAATGGAATTATCGAAAAATGAGTTATGAGTTTTTTAATCCACGAGTTTCCAGAAATTGAAACAATTCCTGTATATAAGCGATGTAATTAATATCATGACATAAAAAAATTTGATTGGGAGGATAAATCTGAGAAATACGGCTTATCATCACCCGTTTTGTGCATAAAATATTAGCCCATCAGTTGAAAAAATAAATGATTCAATATAAAAAACAAACTATTCATAACTGGATGCTTAAATGATTTTAAAATTCAAGTGTTAGATACATATATAAATATTTGTGACGCCAAATAATTCAAGCTGATCAATCAGTCATGAAGTTCTGCTTGGAGGACACATGTTACCAATTACTAATACTGATTTCTAGATACATCAGCTGTGTACTGGTCCGAACATTTTTAACAAAATATACAAAGAGTTGCAGATTTAGCTTCTACAAGTTAACGGAAGTGAGACCACTAATGGTCTAAAATAACTAGAAAAAGGTTTTCATATTGCTCACTTAAGTTCAAGGAATTTATTCAAAGAGTAATTTCCTCAACAACTCTCACTTTCACAGGAACGGGTTTGCCATCCTTGCCAAGCTTTTGCTTATTTTTCTTGTTGATGTTCTTGTGGCTTTTCTTGCTGGCAGAAAGCATCGAGTCCGGAGAATCGCAGTTCGAAGAGGCAGCAGCTATGGCGGCGGCAGCTGTCGTGTGCGCCTCCGACCTTGCAAACTCTGCGGAGAATTGCGAGATGGCATTGCAGTTGCTCTGCGTTGCCTTGAATTCCTCCATTTGAATGTAATCGCAGAACTGCATCTCGCATGTCTGCAAACGAGAGGAAGAAACAGTAAGGTGGACTGCAGTCAAATTAGAGCCGGTGCGCTAAGCTCGTCAGCTGGCGACTATGTCGCTAATTGCCAATTGGTCGAGCATCGTGTAACGAAAACTGGTAAATTATCGTACACGCACTTGTATTAATTATTTTGCAATTGAGAAGCAGCGCTAAAAGTCAATGAGCAAGTGGGCTATTTTTTAATATTGCACATTGATGAGTAAGAATCTAACATTGCGCATCCTAAACGTGTTCAAGTTTCTCAATCACAATATAAAGTGCAACTGATTAGTTGAGTAGAGAAGTTCTTTAAAAACTCAAAGCTCGTAGAATAATTAAAGGGTGGCTTTAGAACAGATAACTATTAAAACTAGGTATTAAAAAATATATGCACACATCAAGAAAGCCACATAAAACATGATGAAAATCGAGGTGTACGTTGCATTCAAATCAATATTTATACAATAATGAAAACGGACCTGTATTGGTTCAGCCCCTGTTTGGGACGCTAACTCGAGCGCTTGGCCAAGGAAAAAGCCAATGGAAAACTATTCAGGCATGCACACGATATTAGAAAGGCACAGATATTAGATTTTAAAAATCATAGCTTCAATTTATCATTAAGTCGAGCACTAATTGATTAGAAATGTTATGTTCATCTCAAATCATATGTTAAGCTATCCAACAATCAAACCAAAACATATAAGTTCCAAAACGACTGCAAAACAAAATAAATAAGGGAGGAAAAATAAATTAACAGGATTTGGGTAGCAGAGGTCAGTGATTAAAACTTGTAAGTAATTCCTGTCCATGAACAATGGCCGAAGGTCGTTAAAATCTCCTATGATTGTAGGACGAACATTTTCCGTTTCATCTCCAGTTCATGTTCATCCGAGAAAAAATTAATAGTGCTAACATCGGACAGAATCTGTAGGAACCGAATTACTTAATTAGATAAGCATTAGTTCGAGTTACTAATCGATTGAGAATTTTGACAGGTTACTTACAACCAAAGATTTATCGCAATTTAATCTGAACCTGAGCTATTTAATTCTCCGAGTAATTGCAATCACCTTTTGGCGATAAAGATAATTTACACAGCAGGATAAGTGTATTGCTAATACGCACTTGTTTTTTCGGTCCTGCGAGGCCATTTGTCTTATTATGAAGGCAAGCATTGCACTCTCCACAATCTGTGGTAGTGCGGCAAGGAATGCAATGACCGCACCGATAACGGGGCTTCTCTTTCTGCAACAAATGTTAAGTCCAATTATTTTTTAACTGCAAACCATTCAAATTTAAATTGCTCGTAATTTTAGGCAATTCTTCTTGTCTAATTTTACGGTGCCAGAAGTATTTTCGGTTGTAAGTTTCCGGAAGAAAGCGTCTTTCTCGAAAAGAAATTGAAATCTAGAACATTTTAGCTTTGGAAAACAACAGGAAACTATAAACAGCACTTGCTCAAATGAAAGTAAATAGCTTGCACATGAAGGGGGAAACATGCTCATAAAGTCGGGAAAAATATTGAATTTAAGATATAACTAAACAAAATACTAACAAGTTAATTGCACTTTTGTAAGCGTACCAAATAAAGAAACTTTCCTGGACACGACTGTCACTAAAAGCCACTCAAATTACAGTCAAGCATCAAATTACAGTCAAGCACGAACATAGTAGAACACCTGCATATTACAACTGAGAATTACATATAAATCAGAGATTCACAATTGTGGTAAAAAAATGAATCTTTAAATTTCAGCAAGCGGGCAGGGGACTCAGATGCTACTACGTTGTTTAGCATTCAATGTCGGTGGCGAAAACATAATAGTCTACACTCAATATTAAAAAATGACTGCAGGCTTTAGATTGCTGTACGTGGATATAGGATTCAATAGGTTATTAATTCTAGAGGTAGTACGTACCAATTCATAGACACAGCGCTTTTCCTTGCAGACTTGCTTCAGTTTGTTGGGGCCTCCAAACTTCGCCTTGTCGAGGCAATACCGACAAGCTCCACAATCTTCACTCGTAATGCAGCCTTTGCACACATTACAGCGTTTGCTCCGACGGCGACTCTGTAAATTTACCGTTATTAACGACATTGAAGGGAAATTCAACGTAATTCGACTCTAAAATTTATATGGCTAACAAGCAAGCGGCGCGAATTCTTTTAAATCTGGCGTTGCAAGGGAAACATGCACAATAGTTATATTAGGCTTTAAATTTTGTGTATTTTCTGTTGAAATCTCGTAAAAGACATGCAGTTTTAAAGCGATATCAATGCTCACATTCGTGTTATTTGATGAAATTGAAAACTTATTTATCATAATAGTTTCCAGCAACAGTTAAGCAGTCTACTTTGAAGAACAGAATCTGATCTAAATTATTTTTGAAACTATCGACAAAAAAAAATTGATATTCTAGATGGTTTTCGATGTCTCGAATTTATTTACCAGCTTGATTACTTATTCATCAAACGACGTTGGCTGATGCGAACGAATGGATATCTCAGTCTTTAATTCCTCGGATTGATTCGCGAATACTAAACGGTTTCTTACTCATGCTTCACTGAATGTAAACATTCAAAACTCTCGAAAGGAACAAAACGTCTTATTGCAATTTCATTCATTTTTACCACTCAGTGTCTACAAATTGTTGTTATCGTTTCTGCCCTTAATATTTAGGCCAATAACAAACATGCTTTAAGGCAGCGAAAAGGAGACCTTAGTTAAAGGGGAGGGAAGGTGCTATTCGGAATAGGTTTTTATTTTCATCAACTTGGGCTTTCATAGCAATTAGTTGTTCAGAAACAAGTTTATTTGTTCGATGATTTATTCTCTTTCAAGTTCATTGGTTGAAGGAAGAATTCATCTATAATTAATTGGATTTGCATTAAGTGGTATCGGATTAGATTCATGGAATGTTATAACAGTTCAATTGGGACAGAAGGTGCATTTCCACGTTAAATTTTGATTGCTTCATGTTGTAAGCAAGTGCACAATTAAGATTCATGCGGTTTCGACAGCCAATCATAAAATCCAGGCAAAACGTGCATAAGTGCACCTTAGCAACTTGACAAAAGACGGTGTTAGTTTCAGCAGATGGAAAGAACTGTAGGCAACGAGCACGTGGCAACGAGACTGAGGAGGGAACCGTGGCTTACATTCGCTGCATTGTAGAGGAGCTTAGCAGCGTCCCCTGAGAACGCTGAGAGCGAGGCTCCGTTATCCTCGGACAGAACCTCGATAATGTCCTCGATGCCATCCTCTACAGGAGACCCTGAATGTCCTGGCACCGAAGGGGTCACCGAAGACGAGGGATTCAGACTCTGACCATCGGGGGTCTGGACGAACAGAATTCCAGGTTGTTCGGCGACGAAGCATTAAAGCTTACACTAAACGTAGTCAAAAGCAACGATATCAACAAATATCTATGCTTTGATCAGTATCTGAAATTATCTCATCCGCGAAGAAAGGTCTTCGCAAGGTAATTTGTACACCGAACTTTGATTCCATCTATAGGAAGCCTCAAAAGCTGCTGCGGAGAAAATTTTTTAGAACATTCTCCACATATTATTTTCTTTTTATATATTCTCTCGTCACTTATATTAATCCGCCCGTTCATTCATTCAACCACCGAAGTCTAGGCAACAAATGGCCGTCAGGCAATGCAAACCTCCATGAAGGTAATTTTCAATTACTTCTACGCGCACAGAATGAGGAACGATTCCGAAAGCACAGCTGGTTCTACAAAATGATTTTTAAAAAATTAATCGAATATTGCTCTCAGATGATGTCACTTTTAAATTATCCGGCTCATAACGTCAGCAATGAAAACTATTAATTAGAAACAAACGACGAAATAAGATTCGCTTGGCAAACGGTGCGTATTTTACCTAAAAAATAGATTAGCTCCAGTCTTGCATTTTTGCGTAAATGATGTCACGACAATTAAATTTAACAAAATTTTTCATTCAAAACAAATTTTGAGATGAAAATACTCGTGATTTTAACAATATTGTTTCTTTTTTATTTTGACCAAAATTATCATAGGTGTTTGTCGCTATCAGTAGAATCGATTTCAAACATGATCCTTACCTTTGAATTGGCCGGGCGGTAGGCCTTGTCTTGCAGAGCGCTTAGCGAAGAATTTGAGTTCAGAAGGAAGGAATTCAGGATTCCATTTGCCTGATCCTCGTTCTGCAGCGCAGTCAATGCCGAAGCTGTAGTATCATCAGTGCTTGTGGAAGGGACGTTGGTGTAGTAAGTACTGACGCCGCGGTTGAAGACTGGAGTTGAGGCGAGGTTGGCTGAAATACCCGACCATGCCGAAGAAGTTTTCTTGAAGCTGTCGGTTGCAGCGCTGCCAGCTTCCATGCGCGACGGGTCTTTCTTGTCTGGCTTGCTATCCTCCCGAGTGTCGAAGCTAAGGTTGAGAGCTCCTGAAGAGTCCTTGCTGCAATTGCTGAGATCTGTGATATTGCGAGAAAATGACGTAGCAGCTGCTTCATATAATGGCCAGCTGACAGCTGCTGCAGTTGCAGGGTCCAAATTTAACTGTAGCTGTTTCTGGAGTTCGAGCTGGGCAAGAACATTCAAAGTGTTTTCCTGTTCTGAAGTAGGAATCAATTTGATGTCATTCAAACTTTTAAGGAATTCTTTGGCGTCGTAACTTCGACTGTTCTTGTTTGATTTTGAAGACGATGACTTCGAGTTTTTACTCTGTGAACTTGAAGACTTTGACTTTGAAGTTGATGGGGAAGAAGAGGTCGTGTGCCCACCGAAGGCATTTGCAGTCCCAGCAAAGAGCGAGGCCAAGACGGCTGGCGTAAGGTTTGCGGATGGAATTAAATCCTGTAATTGATTTGCGGCAAATAACGAATTATAAGCAGCAATGCAAGCATTCAAGTCATAATTCGCGGCAGGAAAGGACGGAACTTTAGAGAAGTCAATGTTTAGCGGAAGCGAAGATGATGGTTGTTGGGAATGAGTATGAAGTGCGTCACTTTTGCTCCCTTCGACCTCGCTCATATTCGACTTAGAAAGATTCAATGGACTCGATTCCGAGGAGGCGGAATCTAATTTTAGCACCTTTGCTCGCGAATGGCTGGCATCACTTTTTCTTTTGGAACCCCTGTTTTCAGTTGCATCGCCCGATGTTCCAGAGAGATGGAAAGGCACCGAAGAAGGCGAAAAACTTTCGGTGTGACTTAAGGCATCTGACACGGACAACGGACTTTCAGAAGCTTTCTTTGGGAACGTGGCTGACCCTGAGGATGACGGTGACTGTTTAGAAGAGTGGTGAGAATATACAGAGTCTGACTTGTGACGGGATGACGAGTTGCGGGTGAGGTCATCCAGTAAACTCTGAAAGTATTCATCCAGACTATGTAGGCCAAGCATTTGCGCAGCTGCTCTCACACCAGTCACGTTGCTGTCTTCCGGCAAGCGTCCCGTGTAGAACCCTTGCACAAGCGCCTTCACGTCTGTGCCTTTTGTACCTGAAAGAAAGAAACTAATAAATAAGAAAACAGACTACCAATCTAAATTTCTACATTACGGCCGCTCTTTAGCTTAATTAACTTTTTACCCAAGTGTAAGATAAGAATGTTTTGTGCGAATCACATTGAAACTGAAATACATCAGATTTCACAGAAGATAAATCAGTCCGATGATCACACAGAGCAGGTTTATGCCTCTTCTACCGACTACGACACACATTCTTTGGCTAGAAAAATTTACATTCTTCGAATTCTTTATCAATTCCGTGTTTTAGTCAACGAGCGAGTCTTTTCCGAACTCGTCTCAAACCAAAATGCATGAATGTATAACATCAAGGGTATTTGTGGACAATCAATGAATCCTCACGTAATAACAAATAGTAAATTGAAGGACAAAGTGTGAATTTAAAATCTAACTTGACCATTTGATAAAATGTGAAGAATATTCAGTGTCGACATGAGAGCCTACTTTATCGTTGTCCACCAACCTTGCAGGACTATGATAGGTTTATCGAGATTTCGTATATCTTCCGACTCGCTGAGGACTTTCTTGATGAACGGTGAAGCGGCGACGAGGAGCAGTTGATGAGCGTCCACCACCACTCCGTCGTCTGACACCAATGAGACAAGGGCGTTGTCCATCTTGTCGCCCTTTTCAAAAATAGATCTGCGGGGGAAAGTGTTAATGGTTATGAAATCGCTAATTTTTACGGGTCATTCTATGTCGGTTATTTTAATGGATCAGAAGATTTGATGCGAAGCCAACCTTCTGCCGGCCCAGTCAAAACACAACAGTTGCTTCAATGGATAAAGATGAGTCGGAACCAAACCGAATGTTACACGTAAATATACGTTGACAGATGATTGTATAACCTAAATTAAATACAAAATTTAATTGTTTTATGGCACATATTTGTGGAAGGGATCACATTCATTCTCTCAATCAGACTAATGCTCGCTGTATGAACGCGCGTGCATTTAAATGTAAAAACTGCAATTCAAATCAGCCACGTGGCAATTGCATCTAGGCCTGTTCAAAACATTAATTGGGGACGAATCGATAACAAAGAAATTACTCACTTGATGGCGGCAGTTATGTTGTCAAATGATGTGCGTTTGTTTCCAACATCCACGAAGGCGGTGCCGGAATCTGATGAAGACCGAGCTTGCGGGAGAGTCTCTTTCTTCGCAGAGGCGGTGTCTGAAGAATTGGTTTTCGCGGGAGTTGAGGTAACAAGTGGCTTACTTCTGTGTGCCTTTGAGTAACTTTTAGCTAGTTCCGCAGCACCGGCAGCCTCGAGCTGCTGTAATGCAAGTTTTTCGATGAAATGTTGCTGGGCGTCGGGAGAGCGCATATAGTCCGCTGATGCGTCTGAGTTGGCGGTACCTAGAGCATTTGGAATGTTGAAATAATCTTGAAAACCGTAAAGATAAGATGACAAAGCTGTCTGATTGCTTCTAGAATAAGGATTATAGGCATCAAAGTTGATTATATTTGAAGACTTGTAGTAACTTGGCATCGGATTCGACATTGCAGCGCTAAACTTGCTGCCGCCATCATTGGTCAAGGATAAAGACGCCGTTGAAGCCGGTAAGGCAGATGCTGACGGAATCTTGGAATAATTCTGCTCATAGTTTTTCCACATACTACTCGACGCATCAAGAGATGGTGATTGCCGCGTACTCCTGGATGGAGACCGCCCATTTTTCTGGCCGCTCTTTGAAGAGGACGACATGAATGGTTGTTTAGTGGTTTCCTGTGCGTTGAAAGAGCTATGACTGGATTTAGAAGAACTGGCATCAGAGGGATGAGAAGCTCTGTTATCTAATGAGCCCGTACTAGTCGTTATGCTAAAATTCTTCATGGTATTCTGAATGTTAACCAAGTCAGCTGCAGACAATGCTCCAAGCGCGTTAACGTCACTTGTAAATTTTGACAAAGCTGAAGGACTGACATTAGCACTCTGTAGGGCATTCATAACCAGCTGTGTGTTGAGTAAATTCAGTGAGCCGTGAATGCTGGTGCTAGGATACAAGGCGTTGCCATACGTGGAGGCCGTGGCAGGGGTGTTGCGGCCCGAAGAGGCGGCGCCCGTCAACACGCCGGCGAGAAGAGACTCCGACGCGGCCGGAGTGCTGCTCGTGGTTGACTCCATCTTTAGAACTTTTTCGCTACTGCATCTGTAAAACGAATACACGGCTTAGACTGAGTTGTGTGAGCAGCACTTACGGAGTAAATGACTAAGACACATTCGTTAAAAATTGCTGTTTATCAGCTGAAGTAAAAATAACTTTGTGACTTCTTATTCGATCTAAAATTAGCATGCAATTTTTTCAGAGCTAAGGCAAAAAATAGCCTCAATAGTGTTGGAAGGAGGCATAATATGAGAAGCCAAACTGCAAACAACCACACATTACAAACTATTTTGTAGTGATTATGGGCATGATTTCTAGTTTTTATCAAATACAGGATTATTCACGTAAATTTCCTGTTTTGTATTTCACGCCAAGCGGATATATGTTGTAGGAAAAAGGCAGGGTGTTCCGAGCGAGCCGTTCATGTCGTACGCTCTTTCGGGCAGTTAACTCGTATGGAGTAAAGAAGATCGACGGGGTTCTCCACTTTACTCGTAAACGTGTAAGCTGAAAACAAATTACCTATGAGACACTAGTACAGCACAACTATGGAAATTACCTATGAAACACTAATACAAAACATTTATACACAAGAACCAGAAACAACGTCAACACGCTTTTACAATGAACACAATTATGGAGAAAACAATAAGTTAAAATATTTTCAGTTACTATAGGTTACTTAGACTTACATAGTTCGTATAGGAGTACCGCGTAGTATGTACCAGGTCACAAGGATGAATAACGTACGGCCTAACAGGTTCAACATCAGATTGCGTTGGCTACTTATTCTTTGTATGAACAGAGACAGAGAGACGGGCGTATGAACGACGCCACACTCCCCCACGCTTCGCATTCGTAAATATGATGCGAAGGACTATTTTATCCTTATAAACTAAGTCGAAATTTTGGTTTTACGCAACAAAGGTACAACTTCGGTAACGGGACGCTCGTAGTTCTGATATTTCATTTTAGGGGTACCGCTTTTAACTGTGCAAACTACCACTGTCCTAACCGATCCATCAAGGCTCTTTTTTTACAGAGGTGATTACTCCTAGTGGCCAAAAATTCCTATTCAATGATTTTTCTCTTAGTAAGACAACGTCACCGACTGCGTGCGGGGAAGATTTCACGAGCTATTTCTGTCGCTTCTGTAGGTCTTGAAGGTATTCCTTTCGCCACCCTGTCCAGGATTCCTGAGCTAGATGCTGCACTCTTCGCCAGCGGCGAGCGCCGCAGCTCGCCAAGTCGTGTTCATAGGTCTCTTCGCCGGGTAATGTATTTTTCATAGAGGACAAGCAACTCCTCAGTTTCAAGGTATCAAACTTTAGGCGCCCCAAGGTACTGACCGCTCGCCTAAAGACTGCAAGGCAATTGTTAGGTAGCGACTGATCGAGTTTCTCGTTTACTATGGTGTTATGGCGGAGTTGAGAAAGAAATCTCTTGTCCTCCACCGACAGGCCGGGCATTTCGTCGTCAAGGTGCTGAGTAAAGACTGGGGCCTCGGGCGGAAACTGCAAGGAGGCGGAAAGATGGTCGACGTAAGAGCGCATTAGCAAGGACTCTGATTGAGGTACGGCGCCGACGACGGCCCAACCGAGCATAGTATGATGAACGACGGGGATCGAGTTATGAGCTACCGAGGTCGGCATAAGGTTCCCGGCGTCTCGGCCAATTAGAATGTCCACCGTTAGATTGGGATCGACAGGGGGGAAATGATCGGCCAAATGTTGTATTTGAGGACATTTGCGTACAACTTCTGGGGTTGCTACGTCAAGGCGAGTGTCGGGAATCCAATTGTTTTCGAATAGGCGCGGCAGCCTAAACGTTTTGGTCTCTGTGAAACCCCTAATAGCCAGTCCCTCAACCGCGCGGCCAACACAACGCGATTTGAATCTACTCAGCGTACTGACCGTGTATCGTGAGGCAGGAGCTACGATTTTAAGGGAGTCCAGTAATCTGGACGTTGCGAAGGACTTGTTAGACTGCTCATCGATTATAGCATAGGTTTTGAAGGGCTGAATTGCAGGATCAGGGGAGAACACCTCTACCAGAACGGTCTTACCGTAGGCCGGCGAGCAGGTTCCACGGCTGGTTTCGGTGCACAACGCGGTTGTCCCACTGTTGTCAGCCTCAAAACCCCTGGGAGCGGCCGAATGTGTAGCGTTCATCTTCCCTGTCATGCGGTTTAATTTTGGCGCTTGCCTATCTTGGTGCAGCACGGTAGCGTGATTGGTGTTGTTGCAGATGCGACACGATTCAGCTTTGTCGCAGTTGGCGGCAACATGAGGGCCGAGACACCTGTAGCAGAGTCCGTAGCTGCCAACTAGAAGCAATTTAATTCTCGGCGTCATTTCGGCGAATGCGGTACAATTCGTTAGCTCATGGGTGTTGGATCGGTGCAGGGGGCACTTTAAGCCCGGAAGAGGGCTTGCGAATTCTTCGGAGGTGACCGTTTGAAAAGAGTTGACAACTTTCTTGGGCACCGCGTCAACATTGGATTCCGATGTACCGACGCGAGATACGTCTGCACACAGAAGGTCCGCAGTTTGAACGAGGAAGTTCGCGAAAACTTCGAATTTTGGATGAGCTCCATATTCCAGGACGTGCCTCCCTTTCATTTCGCGCCATTTGTTGTTCAAGAATTCCGGCAACTTGCAGCGCAAGGGATCCACACCATGGGCGTGGTTCAGGGTTTGGAGATCTGTTACGGAGTCAATGTGTGCCAGTACGATTAGACACAGATCACTGAACTGTCTGAGTTGCAAGGCTACCGAAGGATCGGACTGCGGACCGCAAATTTCGGGGAAGGAAAGCAACCTTTGACGCAAGCCTTTCGCGATTTCCTCGTCGCCACCGAAACGTCTGTGCAGATTTTTCATGATCATTTCGTATGCCTTATCCGGATTGATTAGATTTGCAGTCTTGAAGGTTTCGACAGTTTGTCTTGCTTCCCCGGCCGTATGTGCTTCCAAAATGTCCACTCTATCCAGGGCCGACAGCTGCAATGGATCCATCCTATGCTGTAATGAGGTCACCCAGCCTCTGAAGAGGTGAGCCTCGCCGCAGTAGGGTCTCGCAGGAGGGCGCTTCAATTCGGCCATAGCCATATAACGGGTGGACGCATCCAACAGGACAGATGAGAGCGTCTGAGGGTTAAGCGGCGTGTTTACGCATGCTGTAACACCACGCGTCTGAGGCCCACCCCCTCGAGTGACTGGCAATCCCGTTTCGTTGCGCGCCGGGTCTCTGTCAGTTCCGAGACAAGGAAGAGCGCAGTTGTCAGGGGCAGAAGTGTGAGGCATGTTCCCCGACGCAACAATTCCACTTACGGGCCGTGCTGGTAGATCAAAGAGAGGCTCAGGGAACGCGGGCGCCTGCATGACCCAGTCACGAGTCCTGTTCTCCCTGAGTGTGTCCTCACCGAACACGTCACTATCAATTGAACCACGGCGACTACGAGTAGTTCTCTGTGCCTTCAAAACTTCCACTTTTTCTTCATTCTCAATGCGAAGTTTCTCCAGATCCAACCGAGTTTGTTCCATCAAGGCCATTTCTTCTTGTAAAGCCCTTTCTTTATTTTTTCTAGCTTCGAATAATTTCTTTTCAGACTCCAGTTTAAACAACTTCTCCTTCGCGTCTCCTTTAACCTTGGTTGCTTTTAACTTGTGCTCTAGTTCCATCCGCTCTTTGGACGAGCAGAACGAAACTGCTGACCCAAATGACATTTCGATGAGAGATCCTTCACCGTCTCCCAGCTCAACTATCCGTGATCTAATTTGCTTGACGTAATCTTTGGTGAGGGCTCTAAACTCCCGGTATACGAGTTCCCAATGGTTACGTTCTTCCGTACGCGCGTCCTTCGCCAATGACGAGGTGAAATCCTTCAGTGATTTTTCGAACGAAATCCAACTATCTTTCAGGCTATGCTTAACCTTGCACACCAACGGTAGGCTGCCGGACAGCAAGACCACGTCCCGAGACGATAGTTCTAGTAATAGCTCCTCCTTGCACGAATAGAGCTTCTCCTGCAAAGAAGTCATGGTCGAACGCTGGGCCCGCTGACTTCTAGTAGGAGACCGGATCATTGTGCGTAGCGTGATCCCGCCACAGGCGTCCACGTACTATCTTACTGTTCCGAGCGAGCCGTTCATGTCGTACGCTCTTTCGGGCAGTTAACTCGTATGGAGTAAAGAAGATCGACGGGGTTCTCCACTTTACTCGTAAACGTGTAAGCTGAAAACAAATTACCTATGAGACACTAGTACAGCACAACTATGGAAATTACCTATGAAACACTAATACAAAACATTTATACACAAGAACCAGAAACAACGTCAACACGCTTTTACAATGAACACAATTATGGAGAAAACAATAAGTTAAAATATTTTCAGTTACTATAGGTTACTTAGACTTACATAGTTCGTATAGGAGTACCGCGTAGTATGTACCAGGTCACAAGGATGAATAACGTACGGCCTAACAGGTTCAACATCAGATTGCGTTGGCTACTTATTCTTTGTATGAACAGAGACAGAGAGACGGGCGTATGAACGACGCCACACAGGGAGTATTTCATATGAAAGGCAAGGTCATGAAGTTTTGTGTCCCGCCTAATCAGTTGCCACTATGCATTGGACAAGTGAGAAGCGTGCGTTTGCTTCGAGGCGTACTTTTCCAATAACTGTTCCAATAACAGCGACTCAACTAGCATTTTATACTCGGTTCCGTATACTTCCTTCGTGTCAGGTTCCCGATCGGCTCTGATCCTTATCGAGTTCCCATTTGGCTCCGGGTGAATTTTTATGGGGTTATCTTGAATCAATTGTTTAAAATGACTGTCCAAGGACCCTACGTCATTTGAATAACAACATACGCCAAGCCATCGCAACATACCCGTCAATATTCTTCATCATCAGCGAGTTGAACGGAACTTCATACCTGAGGCTGAATGCATTGACAATGGGGACCGTCATTTGTCCAATGTCATCTTTAAAACTAAGTGATACAAAAATTCAGGTAATGTCTTATTCAATAAAATT